TCGTGCAATTTTGGGCCGCCGGGGGTCCCCGGCCCCCGCCACTTCTGCTGGATTTTTTTTTTGTTCTTGGCTCATGGACTAGGAACTGTTCTTTGAACCATGAACAAAGCTGTGCCAGCTCTGATGCCACGTCTCCCTAGCTGCTGCATTTTCCAGGCATTGTTTCTATAACTCTTCCAAAAATTCAGCAATTTTTCCACTCCCTGCCAGCCTGGACTCAAAGCTTTGCCCAGCAGCTGTGTGATAGCGTTACACAGCTTTGATGATCAGCCACCTTTCAGCCTCTCAGATGCACTGTCCGTTCTTGTTCTGCAGTGGCTCCAGCTCATCTCCTCCATTAAGAGCCCAAGTGTGGAAATTCACATTAAAGACCCACCTCTTCCAGGAAAGGCCTCCCTGAAGAAAGCAGTGGAAGAACCACGGTGCAAGGCCCATGCGGTGGTAGCAGTGGTACCTGTGGCCCGGCCAGGAGCTGCACACTCACTCCTTTGGCTCTCTCACGGGTCCCCAGAGCACACCAGCACGTGGCTGTGACCTTGCAAGAGAACGTCACAGTCCCTAACGCAGTCGGCGCAGCCTCTCTGCTTGCCAGCACTGCAGCTCTCATCACTTCCTTGCATGCATCCCGTGAAAGCATTTTCTCAGGTGGAGAAAGGGATTTTGTGGGGAAATATTTTCACTTTTTTTTTTTGGAGCACACTGGTGAGCAGGTGGCCCTCACCTACAGCCTACCCCTTCTTCCCAGAGTGCTCACATCCCTGTATGCATCCATCCAGAGACTCATCTCTTCTCTCCTGGGCACTCTCTCACCCTCTCCATACTCCCCGCTCCCAGGTCATGACTTGACACAAGCCATACGAAAAAAAACATTTAAGCTGATGCACAGCAACCAGGCTTTGGTACCCCTGGGCATACCTACACAGTGGCTCACCCCCGCTCTCCCAAGGACCTGTTTTACGATCCAATGGGGCTGGCTGGTGATCGGCTCACACTAGAATGAGTTTTTTGCAGCATCTGAGGTGCTGCATGGTACCCCCACACTAGAAACTACGGGGTTTCACAGCTCTCTTCCCACTGCCTCCTTCCTTATCCTGGTTTGAGAGCACCAGGATAAAAGTTTCTGGGGCTCGTGGCATGTGTGGCATTCACAGCCTGGGACCTAGCTGCCATCCAGAGGGCATGGGTTCCATATCACCGTATTCTTTTGTATCTTTGAATCACAGAATCATAGAATTGTCAGGGTTGGAAGGGACCTTAAAGATCATCTAGTTCCAACCCCCCTGCTATGGGCAGGGACATCTCCCACTAGATCAGGCTGCCCAGAGTCCCATCCAGCCTAGCCTGGAACACTTCCAGGGATGGTGCTTCCACCCCCTCTCTGGGCAACCTGTGCCAGGGTCTCACCACCCTCATGGGGAAGAACTTCTTCCTCACGTCCAATCTGAACCGATCCATTTCTAGCTTTAACCCATTCCCTCTAGTCCTGTCACTGCCCAACATCCTAAAAAGCCCCTCCCCAGCTTTCTTGTAGTCCCCTTGAGATACTGGAAGGCCACAATAAGGTCTCCTCAGAGCCTTCTTTTCTGCAGACTGAACAGCCTCAAATCTCTCAGTTTTTTTCATAGGAGAGGTGCTCCAGCCCTCTGATCATCCTCGTGGCCCTTCTCTGGACGTGCTCCAGCATGTCCATATCTTTCTTGTGCTGTGGGCTCCAGAACTGGATGCAGTACCCCAGGAGGGGTCTCATGAGAATAGAGGGGGAGAATCACCTCCCTTGACCTGCTGACCACACACCTCTTGATGCAACCCAGGATACGATTGGCTTTCTGGGCTGCAAGTGCACACTGACGGCTCATGTTGAGCTTCTCGTCCACCAGTACCCCCAAGTCCTTTTCTTCAGGGCTGCCCTCAAGCAAATCACTGCCCAGTCTATAGCGGTGCTTGGGATTGCCCCGACCCAGATGGAAGACCTTGCACTTGGTCTTGTTGAACTTCATGAGGCTGGCATGAGCCCACCTCTCCAGCCTGTCGAGGTCCCTCTGGATGGCATCCCTACCCGCCAGCGTGTCAGCCACCCCACACAGCTTGGTGTCATTGGCAAACTTTTTCATATTTTTACATACTTGTATACGTATGTATATATATATTTACATACTTGTATATATCTGTATCTTCATTATTGCCACTAGTATTTTTTTCCCCCAACCTCAAAGTCTCTCTCCCTGGTTGCCTTTTTATCCTCCCCTGGGTGGGGGACCACAGAGAGCATCTGTCAGAGTTTAGTGGCCAACCTTAGACAGATCTAATTAGCGCCTTGAGAATGCCTGATCTCGTCTAATCTCAGAAGCTAAGCAGGGTCAGGTATGGTTAGCATTCAAATGGGAGACCGCCCAGGAGTACCAAGTACTGAGAGCTTCCAGGTCTCTTATTAGGTACCCCTTTATACAGAGCACCATGGGAAGGGACATTTGCATCACCTGACCAATCCTCCCCATAGGCACAGCTGCCCCTGTCCTCCACCGTTATTTTCACCTGTTCCAGGAGCCCCAGAGAGCTTTTATCCTGGGGCTCTCAAACCAGTACATTCCCTAATGCAGGGATCTCCCTCTCAAATACCACAACAGAAGAAAAGAAGTCAAAAAAGAGAAGGTGCTTTGTGCTGGGAAACGGACATGTTGTGTGCACAAAGGATAATTTCTTTGGCTCTACCCCAAATTGAGGTTTTTGCTGTGACTTTTGACAGCCTTTCAGCAAGATCTCAAAGTCCAGTGAAGTGGCTGTGTGAAAAGCCATGGGAAGTTGAGCTCCAAGGACAGACACTGCTTCTCAAGCTCATGTTGCCTCTCCTTGGTACACAGCTGCTCTGAATGAGCAAACTCCATAGAAAAGATGAAATTTGAGGATCTCTTGCTGGAAATTGGTGGCTTTGGCAGATTCCAGATTTTGATTTTGTTTATCCTCTGCCTCCCAAGAATCAATCTTCCCATGCATTTCCTGCTGCACAATTTTCTTGCTGCTACTCCCTCTCATCACTGTGCAATTCCACACCAAGAGGCATTTGCGAACCTCACCATGGAGGAAGTTCTGCTCATCAGCATCCCCCGGGAACCCGATGGCACTTTCAGGTCCTGCGAGATGTTCTCGCAGCCTCAGTTTCATCTGCTGCTCAATTCCTCTCTGCAACCACAAAACAACTCCAGCATCCAGCACTGCCAGCATGGATGGGTCTATGACCACTCGCAGTTCACCTCCACCATCTCCACCCAGGTAATGCTTGGTCTGTAGTCTAGCCAAAAATGAAGCTACCTCAGTGTATTGAAGAGCAGATGGAGAAGTGTTCATTGGATGCACAGAGGGGAATCTGTATTTTAACCAGTAGAAATAACTCATTTAGAGAAGATTTCTTGGGATGGGGAAGCTTAGAGTTAGAAGCCACCTGTTATTATTATTGTTGTTGTTGTTGTTATTACTGTTATTATTATTATTATCATTATTATTGTTGTTGTTGTCATTGTCATTATTGCTGTTATTATTATACGCATCTTGCTTAGATTGATAGTTAGAAGCATCTTAATAGTTAAAAGCATCTTAATTTCTCCAGGAGATGGAGATATTGGAGGGAGTGGGGAGAAGACACACATACAGGATTTTCTCTGGTTGGGCCACATGGCATTTGCGCAGGATCACATCCTGTCAGGGCTTAATATGAGACCATGACTTGCTTTCTTGATTTGCCAAACGCTTTGTCACTTCCATCCCCTGGCCACGCCTCCTCACTGGGCTCCACTTCCCCGTCCTCTCCCCAAGATTGTGCTGCCTCTCTGCTCTTTCCGCCAGTGTCTCTTGTTGTCAAGTCAAATGGGGTCTCCAAGGACCTCCCGCAGAGGTGCAGCATGCTGGCCAGACATAACCTTGAGCCTGCCCAAGGTCCCTGCCCATCAAACATTAACCATCTGTACTCTGAAACACTTTGCTAGGGTGAACAGTGATACCTCTAGGTGTTAATGCTTTACCTTCCTTGAAAAGAGGCCCAAATCACAGGAGGTCTCAGGTCAGGGGACAGTTTTGTTCCATGAAAAGGGCACAGTTGAGTTGTGAGTGATAGTGGTGACTGTGTCAGTGAGAGCAGGGACAAGTCTTAACCTAGAGCTGGTGCTTCCTACCCACTGCACAACCACCCCTGCTCTTGTCAGGCACGCAGGTGAGGGTCAGATGTGCGCCAGGTCTGCACTGGATTTCTGCACTGTTTCAGCAAGAAAGGTGTAAAGAACCCTTGGAGGAAAAGGCAGGGGAGGTACTCCACAGAATAGTTGCTGCACCCACGATGCAGTGGCCTTAGGACATGTTCAAGAGGCCGAGGCTTTCTCTGGAGTCTTTTGCTCTTGCAGCAAGGAAGGTTGCTCAAGGTCTGGCTGGCCTTGCGAGAGAGGCTGTGAGGTTGAGTTGATGATTAAATTAGGTTTTGCCAAGTTGGCATGTATAGAAAATGAATTCTGCAGCTTGGCCACAGCATTATGTAATGATTAGTGACATTTGCACCTCTGAGAAAGTAAAATGATGCTCAATGAATGAATCAGGAAAAAACACCCACCTCAGCAGGGCAGAACCAGGAGCATGGCAGAAGGAGCTGGGGATGACAGGCCCCCAAGCAGGTTGACAGCAGCTACCACAGAGGTCAGGAGAGGAAAAAAAGGATCTCTTCATGATGATTGGTACCCAGGAAAGCTCTCTGATGCCAAACAAGTGTCCACAGAGAGGCTCTCACGGTGCGGGTAAATAACTGGACTCTGGCACTGAAGTTTAGTGCAGGATTCTATCCCTCTATCAGATTCGGACAATGTAAATTGCAAGACCTGATGTCTGACCACTGGAGGACAGGGGTGTGAAATGGCACTAAATGTCATTTTGGCCTTGTGTTTCAGTGGGACCTTGTGTGCGAGCAGCGTGGACTGAACCAGGCGACTGCAACCTTCTTCTTCATTGGCGTTACAATGGGGGCCGTGGTTTTTGGATACCTTTCAGACAGGTTTGACCCCTTTCAGGCTGTTCCTCCAGTTTCATGGCAAGAACTTCACTGTGACGTGCAAAAGGCAATCACTGGGACAGGGAAAGGAGAAAATACAATCATAAAGGGAGAATTCAGCTTGAACAATCCACTTGAAAATTAAAGTCATACTGGGAAGCAATGCAGCGGCTAAATGTTCCCATGGATCAGCCAGTTAGCAGCCCAGCAGAGAAGCAACTCTGGCCTTGGTTAGGCATAAGGTACAGTGCAGCGATGACCACAACACTGTGGTCAGCATTGCTACAGGAACAGTAAAAACTGAAAAAATCCACTGACTGAGACTGATTTCAGAGAAGACAACTGTCTAAAACAGAGGAAAGGTGGCTAATCCAAAACCAAAACAAGAGGCTCAAAGAGTTAACTCCTTGAGACTTACATGGAAATTGGTTAAGGGCACGCAAGCAAGGGGTTCAGAGCAAATGCATGCCACAGCTGAAAAAAAAAAAGTGTCCAGAAAGCAAAACCAGACTCTGTTATCACTAGAGAAACATGGTAAAGGAGGTTATTAGAGGCAAGGAGGCATTCCTCGAGGAAGAGCTGAGGCAATGAGGAAAACAGGAACAAATCTGCTCTCTCTGGCTAAACGTTAGAATGTGGTAATGCAAACCTGAAAAAAAATAACCTAGAAAGGGCATCAATTAAGAAATGAAATATTTTTGCAGAAGCAGGAAACCTACCAGAGAATGTGTAGTGCAGGCGTGCAACCAGGATGAGCTGTTCACTGTACGCTTGTCATTATTTCATGTCTGAGTTTCCTGCGCAGGAAACCGCTTCCCAATTTCCTTCCTTTGGGAGCAAGCATGCATTAGTGTATGGCAGGCTACAAAATCACTGCAGAGCAGAAGGGAAACAGCTTCACAGTATGAAGCATGCAGAGACTTAGTGCTGAAGATGGGAATTTTAACATCCATTGGTTTGCATGTGAGTACATCAGAATACTTTTAGAAGGCCCCAAGACATCTGGCTGATCTTCACACTGTGCGTCTTGGCTTTGTATCCAAAATGATTTTATGGCACAGGTGGAGTGAAAGAAATTCAGAATTGTGAAAACGAGCAGGACTCCGTAAGGCAGAAGAGAAGGTGTCTGATAGAGCAAAATGAAAAATAATTTGGTTTTCAAATGGATTGTGAGGGGGAAGAGTCAGCAGAAGATCAAGGTGTAAAAGGAGCATCTGGAAATAAAAAGGCTGTAGTGTGAGATATAAATGAGTTTGTGCTCACAGTGGGAGAACATGTGGGAGAACCAGGGGAATGCCAGCAAACTGCCAGGGGCAGGGAATGGTCATCCTAGAGACCTACAGGACCTTTGGGATGAAAAAGCTGGAACACTGTTGGCATTGCGTGACCTCCACAGCAGAGAAAGGTATCATGTATCAAATCAGTTTTAAACTGGTTTCCGAAAAAGATCTCAGAAACTACACTCCAAGCAGACTGACATCTGTCTGTACGCAGCAAATTAGCAGAAACTATTCTGAAAGATGGAGTCAGTGGCCATATGGATGGATATGACGTACTAATGAGGAATCAAGGAGGAGGTTGCAAAAGATCAATGCCTTCCAAACATACTGGATTTCTTTGAATGCACCAGCAGGCATGTGAACAGGGGAGATACCATCTACATAGATTTCAAGAAGTTTCTTTAACAAAGGCTCCTAAAGAAACTGATCTCTTCCAGGATAAGAAGGAAGGTTTCTGCATGACTAAATAATTGATTAAAAGCCAGAAAGCAGAGGGGAGATTTAATTGTTCGGTTGTGACAATGGAGGAGACCTGTGGGGACCTGTGCTTGGCTTTGTGTGCTTTTCAGCACATTTATAAATTATCATAGGATCATAAAATGTGTTGGGCTGGAAGGGACCTTTAAAGGTCATCTAGTCCAAACTCCCCTGCAGTGAGCAGGGACATCTTCAAATAGATCAGGTTGCTCAGAGCTGCATCAAGCCTGACCTTGAATGCATCCAGGGATGGAGCCTCCACCACCTCTCTGGGCAACCTGTGCCAGTGTTTCATCATCCTCATTGTAAAGAACTTTTTTCTAACATCTAATCTAAATCTACCCTGCTCTAGTTTTAAACCATTGCCCCTCGTTCTGTCGCTACACACCCTTGTAAGCAGTCCCTCCCCAGCTTTCCTGTAGTTTTCTTCAGGAACTGGAAGACCACTATAAGGTCTCCTCAGAGCCTTCTCTTCTCCAGGCTGAACAACCCCAACTCTCTCAGCCTGTCTTTATAAGAGAGGTACTCTAGCACTTTGATCATTTTTGTGGCCCTCCTCTGCACCTGCTGCAGCAAGTCCATGTCCTTCTTGTGTTGAGGGCTCCACAGCTGGACACAGTACTCCAGCTGAAGTCTCACTAGAGCAGAGTACAGGGGCAAAATCTCTCTCCATCTGCTGGCCATGCTGCTTTTAATGCAGTCAAGGATGTGATTGGCCTTCCAGGCTGCAAGCATGCGTTGGTAGCTTATGTCCAGCTTTTTGTCCACCAACACTCCTAAGTCCCTCTCTGTGGGGCTGCTCTCTACCACATCATCCCTCAGCCGGTATTGAGAATGAGCATTGCTCCGACCCATGTGCAGGATCTCACACTTGGCCTTGTTGAACCTCATGAGGTTCACGTGGGCCCATTTCTCCAGCTTGTCCAAGTCACTCTGGAGGACATTGCATCCCTCTGGCATGTTGACTGCACCGCTCAGCTCGGTGTCATCTGCAAACTTGCTGAGGGTGCCCTCAAATCCACTGTCTATGTTATTGATGCAGATATTGAAGAGCACTGGTCCCAGCACAGACCCCTGAGGGACAACGCTTGTCTGGAAAAGAAGCAAGTGAGGAGGTTATGCTGAGAGGCCAGGATGGTAGAGATGAGATCTAAGTGTGGAGAACAGCAGAAGGAGATTAAAGAACTCCGTGACTGGATGGGAGTATCAGAAGACAAAATTTCAGGCTAGATCAATCTCAAATAAAGAGAAACAATTCTACCTTCTCATTTAAACTTGAGACCTCTGAGCTGACCGTAGCTGCTCAGAAGCAAGACTACAGGGTTATGACAGACACCTCTAGGCAGACATCTGCTCAGCAATGAGTAGTGGCTGGGGAAGCAAATGGAAAATTTAGAATCATTAGGAAAGGAATATAAAATTAAAGAGAATATCACTACACAGTGACATGTAAATGCATGGTGGCCCCACATCTTTAATACTGTGTGCCATTTAGATTTCATAGAATCATTTAGGTTGGAAAAGACCTTTAAGATCAAGTCCAGCTTCCCTATGTCTAAAGGATACAGAAGAAGTGGAGAAAATTCGGTAAAGCTAACAAATAAGACCAAGTTATGGCTTGGCTTCCACCTAGCCAGACCAGGACCTTTCAGGCTGCTCAGGTGGCATCTAACAAGGGTCTGACAGCCTGCTGTGCCCTTGCGAGCATCCTGGAGCGGAGCTGACTGTGCACTGACCACCTGAGCTGCCTGGAAAGGCTTGCAGCCCATGTAATTGCAGTAGGGCCAGCACATCCCGTAAATTTGTAGTAAATTTGGCAGATCTGTTCAACCACAGGTGTCATGCCGCCCCCATCTCCCCTAAGACCCCCTAAAAGCTGATATCTTGTTAGCAACCTTCTTCTTCTCTAACAGAGGAGAGGTCCCACTTCTTTGTGCTAACAGTAATGCAGAGATTTCATCTCTCGTGCTTCAGCGTGAAAACCATCTGGTCCCAGCATTCTGCTACAGTTCAGATTTGTTTTGTCCTAAGCTTCTACAGACATTTAAATTTGAGAATATCTCTACTGACAAATTTTAGCCTGGTAAACCCTCCAACAACCTTCACTGTGAAGATATATATACTTTTATATATATTTATATATATAGTTATATATAT